GAAGTTTGTGTGGAAGAAGTTTTCAATAATGAGTTGACCCCTTACCACCCTTCAAAGATGATCAATGAGGTATTTTTTAAATATCATTATGAAGTTATGGAATTAAGCATTCCAGACATGTTTACCTATTGCAGTTGGTATTATTGTCAAAAGGGCCTTAGTTCTCCAACTGGGGTCTATAGAGCCTTGGAGTTTTTGGGCTTTCCAGCTCAAGTCAGATTTCAGTTTTAGACTGTTTCGGCATTGGGCTTCCCTTTGATTAAAATAAATGCTGAATTAAAGCATTGCCTCTGAAATTCTTCCACTGACTGTGTAGATCTGTTGGGGAGGTACGGGGGTGAAAGTTACTAACATTAGCCAGTTAGCAGCTGTTGAATTACAGACTAGGATTTAGGAAAAAATCATTTTAGGGAATGTATAAGGTTTGGATAAGAGAACAGGCCTTTTGGAGAAGCTCCCTAGATTCTACCAGAGAGAGTTTGCTTAGGTCACTCTGCTAGGGCTAAGGGCCCAGGTGACATGAGCTGAGTTGGATTCCTGAGCCCTGTCTACCCAATTAAATATTTTATTTTTGATTTTTCTGTTTATAAGTAACCATAAAGGAAGGACACATTTGGTTTTGGTTACTATTTTTTGTTTGTTTTGTTTTATTTTGACTTGTCTTGTTTTGTTTTGTTGTAAAGAACTTGCTTTCTGAAACCAAAGAGAATTTTACCATTGACAAATTTGCATTCATTTCAAAACTGAGCATTACAGTCATCTTTTGCAGACACTTCTCTCATTAGCTGAGGTTTAGTTTTGCTGTCTTTTCAGCTGTGAAAGCCTTTAGCTTGTTGCAGTAATTTTTCAAATCTTGCTCTTGGAGCCTGATAGAGATTTTCTGAAGCCTGCTTTCTTAACTTTTGCCAGTTCCATATTTGTATCTCTGTGACATTTTTCATTTACTAGGTTTCATGTTTACCATCTGCTGGCAGTTTTAGAGATGGCCTGAGTTGTGTACATCATCCTCCTTTAGTCCCATTTTCTTAGTATATATCCAAAGCTTGACTTCTGTGTTCATGTGATTTATATAACTAGATTTTGTATTTTTAACCAATCTGACAGTTGTCTTTTAAACTAGAAAGTGTAATTTATTTACATTGTCATTTTGTGATTACTAATATATTTGGATTTATTTCTATCATATTTTGTGACTTCTCTCATCTTTCTTTCTTTTTTTTTTCCCTTTTGGACTGGTTACCTATGTTTTTGTTTTTACATTCCCACCCCACCCCCACTGGTCTAGAAATTATATCTTCAGTTTTTACTCTTTTAGAATGGTAGATTCTACCATTATAAATCTACATCTTTTAGATGATTGCTCTATAACTTCTAACATACATATTTAACTTAAAGTCTAATGTTAATCATACTCTACTATCCTTTAGTCCACACACACACCCAACTATATGGTTTATCTAATACTAAAGTTTTATTCTTTAAAACACATGCTTAAAATATTATTATTTAAAAAGCCAATTTTCCCTCAGGTTTAAACAATTTTATTTACTTGCCATTCTTTCTAGTCTCTCAAGTCTTCTTTAAAGGATCATTGTCCTTTTTCCAAAAAACACATCTTCTGAAAAACACAACTTCTAAAAAGTTCCTTTAGTAAGTGTTTATTGCTAATAAATTCTGTTTTTGTTTCTTTAAAATATCTTCATTTTTTTCCAAATCATAAAACATAAGGTTACTAGACTTGTGAATCTATGTTGGTAGAACTTACTGTCAACATATTATTCTATTGCCTTCTATGTTTCTATGAGAAAACACCTGTTGGTGTAGTTGTTTTCCTTTGTTAGTAATTTGTCTTTTCTTTCTGGCTACTTTTAAAATCTTCATATTCTTCATTTTAATGTATCATGGTGTGCATGTAATTTTATTTAATTGATTTGAGATTTTATGTGTTTCCTGAATCTGAAAACATATCTTTTATCAGTTCAAAAAGATATTTAACTATTATCTCATCATTTATCACCTCTCCCATTCTTTTTATTAACTTCTTTTAGAAGTTCAGTTAATGTAGTTTAGGCCTTCTTATTCTATTTTCTATATCTCTTTAGTCCTTTTTCATACGTTTCATCTTTATCTTTGCTGCATTCTGCATATTTTCTTTTAGATCCTTCACTTCACTAATTCTCACCTCACCTGTGTCTAACCTTGTCTTTTATTCATCGTTTCTTTTTGCTTTGTTGAGTTATTTTTATATAAAGTAAATTGCATATATTTAAAATGTACATTTTGATCAATTTTGACATATGTACTTGTGTATATATTCATGAAATCATCACAATCATGATAATGAGCATATCTGCCCTCCCCCCACAAAGTTTTCTCCTACTCTTTTGAGATCCTTTCTTCTTCTTCTTGCCTGGGCCCCCCAAATTCCCAGGAAACCACTCATGTGCTTTCTGTCACTATAGATTACTTTGCATTTTCTAGAATTTCGTGCAGTAAAATCAACTCTCTAAACCACCTTAAACAAAATTCTCAAGTTGGTATATCTTGTGTGACATAGGAAGTATGAATTAGGGCCTCAGAGGTGTGATGGCTGACTCCGTAGTTTAGAATCCTCAGGGAACAGCATCCTTGCTGTTTAGATTTTCAGGGTACACTATTTTCTAATCCACCTTTTCACTACAATTGTACCCTAAGTGGTCTTGACTTTACCTGAGGATCTCTGAACCAGTTTCTTAACTTATAAAGGCCTTGATTTTATCTTCTGTCCCCCAAGGACCATTAAAACCAAAGCTCTGTGTCACTGGGCACCTGCAGATGCTCTCAGGTGACTGCTACCGTCAGTACTCCCTTAAACACTCAGGGTTTAAGTATTGTCTTGCCTTTGGCCTCTCACAGTCATATCTACCTTCTCCAAAGCACAGTCATATTTGAAAAAACTTTTAGAAATATTTTACTTAGGTAGGTGTTTTTATAGTAGGAAGAATATTTTAAAGGATATTTAGTCCACGTTATTCCAGAAACAAAATTCAGTTTCATATCTTCTTCACGCTTACGAGGAATATCCAAGACTGATTTGGTAAGTTTTCAAATGTAACTCTTTCTAGTCTCGAGAAGGTACATCACAATCTCCCGGGGCTTTGTTTAAAAATTTTGGATTCCCCAGGTCTCACCTCAAACTTATAGAATTAGAATTCTAATTCTAATTAGAATTCTAATTCTAATTCTAATTCTCTAGGTGGGAGGTTAGGAATCTGAAGTTTTAAAGCCCCTCAGATGATTCGTATCCTCAACCAGGTTTGTTAACCATTACACTCCTATACTCGGCATAGTGTAGGGTCCTCAATAAAATCTTTTATGTCTCAGATCATCAATGGTATTGTTTTCTTCAAACGAGAAGTATATTTTTATACTGATATATATGTCATTTTCTGAGTATACGTCCACGTTATCTGTACAGCTTTAAGTTTTGTTAAATGAATTCAAATTTTCAGATCCATTTTCCTATATAGTCTTTGTTGACTTAACCACCCACTACAATGTATATTCCTGAAGAATGACAGGCAGGAAAGCATCTTCTTTAGCACATCCCTTTGAACAAAACCTGGGCACCTGCTGGCCCCTCGATGAAACGTGAAATGTAATTTTGACTGTCAAGCCCACAGTCCAGAAGCCTGTGGTGCTGGCCCTCTGCAGGCCGCAGCTGCCCCAGCTTTCCTGGCCATCCCTGCTCTGTGCAGTTTTCTGCCTCATTCATCATGCCAACATTATCATCTGAGGTGATTGGTCACATATTATATTTAGCGCAAACCTTTCTCTGACTTGCAGTGTGCAAATGTTATTCATCAGATGCTGGGTCTGCAGCTGTTGTCTTTTTTGAGGCCCAAGCCGATTTCACTTGATTGAAGATGTCTTGGTATGAAGGATTAAAATAGAATCATGAGTTACCACACTACAAAAGCCAATGATAAACCAACATTTAGTTCTACATCATGTACTATGAGAAATCCACAAAGAAATAGAGGCTATTTTAATTAGACTGATAGATCCTGATCCTTTTTTTTAAGTGAAAGTTTAAATTTTGAGTAAAGGAAGGTAATTATACTGTCTATCATTTCAACACAAGGGCCTCTTATGAAATGATCGTAAAGATTTAGTATTATGGGAGTGCTGTTTAATATTCTGTGAGCAAGTAGACTTAACAATATTAATTTGCCTTTTGCTTAAGAGGTTTTAGGGACTTGCGTGTGTGTGTGTGTGTGTGTGTGTGTGGAGGAGGTGTCTTTACCATTCTTTAATTGGCGTCAATCCCTTTAAGATAATCATAAGAAAAATTAATTACTTTTATATCATATTAGGTTTTAGGGGTTTTGCAAAGTTGCTTTCCTCCAGTAGCTACTGAATCACTGAGAACATCACCCTAGTGAAAGAAGATGAGGAAAAAATGGTTAAATGTACTGCATTAGATCTTCAAGAGATACTTGATAGTCTACAGCCATGCCACCCTGAACGTGCTCGATCTCATCTGATCTCGGAAGCTAAGCAGGGTCAGACCTGGTTAGTACTTGGATGGGAGGCCATCTAGGAATACCAGGTGCTGTAGGCATTAAAAAAAGAAAAAAAAAAAGAGAGATACTTGTTAGCTGATTACCTGTCTTATTACTTAATACTGATTTCTTCCTTTCCTTAGAGTCTGTCAATAGTAACACTTTCTTATGTCTCCTTCCAGAGATACTTTATTGATGCAGTATCTTAAAACTGAATATATGCTAGGATTTTAAAAATAATCCTTATTGCAGTTAAATAAATCATTTTTAAAGTGTTGCTAATATTCCTTATCCTCTCTAATTTATGCAAAAATAATTTCTAAAAAGAGCAAGAAAGTGTATCTGTTTTAATACTGCTTTCGTAATGATGCCAGCCATCTGGCAGGAGTTGTATCTGTTAAGTTTTCCATAAGAAATATATGTATTTAACAAGGTTCTTTTTTCTTGTCTTCACAGCCGATCTAGCGTCTTTAATGGATAAAACTTATGAGAGAAAGTTGCCTGTTAGTTCTTTAACAATATCACGGGTAAGAAAACTTAAATATATGTATTTTGAAAGAAGAAGGAGGAAGAAGGTAAAAAAAAGTCTTTATGTAGATGAAGCTGCTTAAAGAAAGAATATCTTTCATAAGAAATAGTTTTCTAGGGTATGGTATGTGTTCGTAGTTACTAATAGATATTTTATGGTGAAGTAGAAAATTTCTTGGACTAAAATAAAAGGTAACAAATTTACTAGACTCTGATGTCAGTGATCACTGTTGTATATCTGATTTATTTTAATTTTTCCAGAAGATGACGTTCTGCTATATGACACCATGAGTTTTTTTTTTAAGTCGATATACCCTTCTTAAGTTCATACTTTTTACTTGTTAATATTGGAAGTATTTTTTGGTAGCTGAGAAAGTCTATAAAAGAATGTATATTAGTGTTAAACTGTTGCAGAGCAATGGAGAAGAAAACAGTTAAGCTGGGAATCAGAAATAGTAACCATTCCCGAACACCTTCTATGCCACCTATTGTACTAGTTTCACAACATACATTATCTCATATGTTAATTCTTATGGCAGCCATGGGAGAGAGGAAATATCACGCCCATTTTACATGTAAGGCTCAAATGATCAATAACTCTCTGAGGTTCACGCAGGTCATACGTGGAAAAATTGGGCTTCAAATCCAGATCCCTGTGACGTCAAAGTTCTTTTCCCTCAAATAATATCTGATCTTCTCTTGATCATGAATTGACTTTGTGACATTGTGCAACTGGCCCCCTCTCTATTTCCTCATTTCCAGTATAGGAACAATAGTATCTGCCTCACAGGGCTGATGTGGTGCTAAAATGAGGTCTTAGTTGTGAGAGCTCTTTGTGAAAATTAATGACACCATAAAATTCAAGGTTATTGTTAATCTGGAGGAGGAAAAAGAAAGAAACGATACTGTGGGTCTTTTCTTTCTGCCTCTTGATAGTCTCCTTTTAGTAGGAGAAGACTTTACCTAGGTCATAACTTAAGTTTTATAGACTCATAATGTTCAGATTAGAGGGGAGCTGAAATACCATTGGTTCATTCTTTACATGATGGATAAAATCTCTGTTATTAAAATACCTGATATTGGTTTAGGCAGCACTACAGAGTTTAAAGAGTTTTCACATACATTTTCTCATTGGAGCCTCAGACTTTAGGGCAGGCACCTTTATTCTATTTATGTAGATGGAGCAACTAAGTTCCAGAGGGGCTGTGCCACCTGCTTATGCCACACAGCAAGCAATAAAGAGAGCTGGTTCTCAACTTCAGGTCTGTACCATATTTCATCTGCCCCTTAATGAGATTTCTAAATCAAATTCTTAAGTAAGGCATTTTTAGAAAGTCTTCCCCTTCTTACTCTCCTCTTTATGAGGTTTTAATTATATTCACATCATGCATTATCTCATCTCCTACTCCATCTTTATTTGCCTCTGAGTCTCCACTTTAGGGTAGAATCCATCTTTGTAATAACCTTTTCTATTTATTTTGTTTAAAATTAAAGAACATACAGATTTTATGGTTCAAAGAGAGACGCGTCGGTAGAAGAATCACAGGTTGACTGGTCCATAACAGAACTTAAATCAGAGTAGGAAAAATGGTTCCAAGATTGAGTTCTCTAAATTTAGATTTTCATCTCTTGGGCCGTATTTTTTAAGCTATTAGAGTCTTCAACCTTACAGCTACAAGATCCCATATATTTGGAGTTTGGAACATAGAGAAAATATCAGGGTTTAAAGGTAAAGGGAAATACCAATGACTAGTTATAAATGGTATAGTATAGTGTAGTGTAATATTTTATAGTAAGAGGAGCTCTCTCTTGTTCTAAGCAAGGTTTATGTTTGGCTTTCAAATAGTTTTCCTAACCAAGGTTGTTCTATACAAAGAAAAAGGGAAACCATTGTATATTTTTTGTTTAAATTAGCATAAAGAGGTTTCAAGGAATAAGTCATACCATGTGAACATTGTTCCAATGAAATAGGTGTTTTGTCTTGGTTAATGTGTGAATTAGGCCCAATATATGGCACAATTTATATTCATCCAAACGTTTCCTTTGTTGTCTTTTAGTTTGTGGACAACATTTCATCTCGAGAAGAGATAGACCATGCAGAGTATTACCTTTACAAGTAAGTTTTCCATTTCATTTGGCTATGTATGCTCCAATTTCACACCACTTTTTAACACAAAATGTGGTGTATATTATATATAATGTTTAGCCCCTTGCTTTTCTGTTTTGGAGATCTTTTCATATCAGTATAGAGAGAGCTTTCTCATTATTTTTAACTGCATCATATTCCATACTACAAATAAATTATTTAAAGCAGTTCCCCCACCACACACAAAAAGCAGTTCCTTACTGAAGGGTCTTTAGGTTGTTTGCTTTTGACCTCGCTTGTGCGCACACGCGCACGCACGCGCGCGCTCTCTCTCTCTCTCTCTCTGTTTTTGCATTATATAGAATGTAATAATAACCTTATACATATGTAATTTTGCACATAATTCTCATAAGTATCTATAATTTCAAAAGCCATTGCCATATTGCTTTTGAGGTTTTACCAGTTTTCATCCCTACCAGCAATGTATGAGAGGCCTGTTTTTATAGCTGGGCCAATAGGAGTATTTTCACACTTGGATTTTTTTTTTTTGGTCAATATGACAGGTGAAAAATTATCTATTTATATCTACTCCCTTTTTTTATTCAGAGAGAAATATACTCCAGATGCACTGTTTGCCACCTATTATTAATTAATACTATATTTTATTTATTTGTTTGTTTTCTTTAACATGTGCTAGGGAAAAGGGGACATTGATGTGAGTGGATTGGGGAAAAGGATGTGAGGGACAAATAGAGACAGAAAAAAAGAATGTCCTAAAAATAGCATACATAATATAATCACATTTATATAAAATATACTTCCACATCTATCAAATGATCACATTTATGTAAAATTCTTTGTGTATATGTATTTTATTTTTTTTAATTAATAGACTTTTTAGAGCAGGTTCAGGTTTAGTAATAAAAAATATTATATCTTCTCTGAGTCTTTTGCTTCTTTTGACAAATTAGTTTAAATCTGGAGAATATCACCATAAAAAAGAATGCCCTTCATATTACTTTTATGAGGAATTCAATGCCTCGTGTCAGTGATTTTTAGATCAGAGTATGCAAAACAAGATGTTTATTAAAAATACAGGACTTTAATTTTGTAAATCTGAGCTGGAGTCAAAGAAACTGCATTTTTAATGTAGCATCTGAGTCATTTTGGTGCATGAACTATACTTTGAGAAACTCTGGGCCGAAAATTCTTGTTCCTTGGTGGACAACCTCTCTTGAAAATGTTTCCCACACCATCTCCACTGACATAAATATCTGATGCTCCAAAAAAAAGAAAAAGAAAAAAAGATTGTGTTCGTTTTCTAATTTTGTGTTAGATGTCAGCATGGAAAAAATTCTTAGTGACTAGGGTAATCTGTGGACCAGTGAACACAACAAATTGTGTGATAGTTAAAAGTGAAATTTTTAAAAATCTCACGTACTATTCACTAGTTTGGAAGTCAAAAGATGAGGAAATATTATCAAAGCATTCTAATATAATAGAAGATGTAATGTTGATTATTATCAATATATTTTATATACTGTATATATATATTTTTTTATTGTACACAATTAATATTAGATTAAAAATTTTTTTTTCTATATTATCACACTTCATTCTTTCTCCCAGCTGTAAGCACCTCCACTGGGAATTGCAGATGCACTCACTCATGTATACAAAGAAGCATGTTCAGTACAGCACCGTCTGTAGTAGTAAAAGACTGGAGTTATAACTAAAGCTTGTTAAATAAGTGGTCAAATAAATTATGATTTATCCTTATAGTTAATATTTCACCTTTCAAATGTCTGTCAAAATGTTGGTGTTTTCTGTTTAAATATAAATCTCAAGTAGATTAGATTCCATACTGTAAGAAACCTTTATTTTAAATTTAGGATTGCCTTTAACTGTGTCCTAAGTTCAAATTCTAGGTCATGAAATCATAATCGCAAATGCCTTCCTATTCTTAATTAAGATAAACTTAAATAGATCCCTTGATGAGAGCATGCCCTATCTTCCTTTAGTGGTTCTTTGGCACATTGGGGCACCCGTAATAATTATTTTTGCCTATGGTGGAAGGTGTATTTGGACTGTCATCTGCCCAGTTCTCATTCTTTATCTTTGTTTGTGGCAAACCACAGAAAATTATTCCAATTTCTAAATAGAAGCTATTCCATCCTGTGGAACACAGTGCCATAGTCTTGGAATAAATATGTCCCAAGTTTACTTCTGTTCCAAAGTACCTCTATAACATATAATTGATTTCAGTGATTCAACATTCAACAATATTTACTGAGCTCCTATTGTGTGCCCAAGCTCTGGGCATATAGTGATAAATAAGTTAGATATGGTCCCTATCTTCATACATTAAAGGTTAGCTGAGAAATTTAAGTCCTACCTTCAAAATCTTCCATGAGTAAGTCTTCATATGATGTCCAGTGTCGTGTGGCCTGGAGTTTTACTGAAACTTTCATAAAATCTCAATTTCTTGTTTCCATATAGATCATATAGCAAACTCTTATCCATCTTAAATCCGAGCCACTATTTAATTTGATATCTCATCCTTTGCTGAATCAAGACTGATGTTCTAACTATGACTTACCACTTTTTTATTTCAATTCTTTGTCCTCCCTTCCATTGCCAAGAAAATTAGCTTTCCCCAACATATTTCTTTTTTAAGGAAAAAACATTTTTATGATGTTATGAGATGACTGTTAGATGTGTATAAGACTCGATATAACTCCATAAAACTTCATCCAGGTGTAGATAATGGAGGTTGGCTAGTGTTCACTCATTAGCTAAGTATCTCACTCCTACTTTCCAGCCTTAGAGAATAAACAAAACATAGTAATGCCTCAGCAACATTAAAAGTTACAGTTAGGAACTCTTGGAATTTATCTCCATTAATTGAAATCAAGAATGTAAGTCCCGAAGACACCAAGGGCCTGTAGTATTTCCACCAGTTAGGTCTTCAGCATGCAATGGTTGCAATGCCCAACATCTCCACATGGGATGACTTTACACATCTCAGAGTCAGTTTACAATCACAGATCTAGGGTGAGGGAATACAGAAGCAAATTCTTAATCCTACAACTAACAGCTTCTTGCTGATCTGCCTTGAGGATTTCTTATTTCCCAGGCAGTAATGTCTTAAGGGTAAGGTCCACACTCCCCCCTTTGTCTTTGGCTCAACTCTTCCCCTGCCTCATCCTGTAGAGACCAGTCTTTGCAAGCATAGCGTAGCGGCCACATCTTCTCATCTTCTAGTGAACAAATCTCCCCAATGACTATGTAAAGAGCATTAGAGCCAAAGAAGTTTGGAAACCTTGAGGGATCTGTAGATTGCTGATTGAGCCTCTGCCATTGTATCAGGTGCACAAGTAAGCAGTGCCAAGTTCCAGCAGTTCAGGATGCTGCCAACACATGCCAGCTCGTTATTATCCTGTCATCCCAGGGGAGAATTTCAGCCTTTAAATCTCTTGAAGTACACAGGTTTAAATGTTTAGGAGCTTCAACATTAAAGAGTCCAAGGGATCTTTTAAGGAGAGTTAGAAAGGCTGTTATTTAGACAGCATGAGGGAGAGCAAATATCTAACCACCCTTATTTGGTCTATAGGCTGTTCTCTGGGGGCCCTCAACCCTATGATCAACTTCTATCCTGCTGCTTATAAATAAAACAGGAAAACACCAAGGAGAGGGAAATGATACTTTAAACAAAAGAATAATGTGAACTAAAGATGATTAAGGCAGTTAATGCCAGAAACTATATAGGTTGACAAACACAAACAAACCCTGATAATACTCTACACACTCTAAAGGGAATATAAACCAAGAGTAAAAATGATTAAAACAGTAAAAATGCTAAATTGAAGTAAACGAAATATGAAATCTAAGAAATAAGAAAAAAAGTCATGCTAAGAACTATTGGACTATAATAAAAAAAAGAAAACAATTAAAATAAGAATAAAAAATAAAAATAAAATAAATACAAAATAAGAAGAACCTGATCCAGGAATTTCATAAAATATGTATAGATATGGCTGGGAGTGTGGGAACATAGGCAATGGTATGCATTTGCATAGATACTCTCAGAAGGCTAAATAATAAAACAGTAAGGAAACTGAGGCAAAAGGGGTTTCATGGAAACCAGAGTATAGAACATGGTAGAGTAGAGGAAAATTAAAATAAAGAAATAAATCCCATATCTTGTGGTCCATGGACTGTTGTTTGTTTTCTAAGAACCATGATCTTAGCTTTTCTCTACAAGAAATCCCCTTTGGAACCTGTCAGCTTGAGGTCAATGTTATTTTATAGCAAGCTTACCTAGAGTTTACCTTTATCATTTTATGGAGAACAACACTTTTCTGGGCCCCCTAGTCAGTTCTGAGCTCAGCCCCTCCCAAGTCCATATGTGCTGCCCATATGCAGACAAGTGAGCTCTGTGTCTCCCTTTTCAGGAGATAAAATTGCATTTCACAGTAAAATTGTGGCATCAGTAAAAGCCATTATTTTTATGATTATAACAAGCTTTAACAATTCCTGTATGAGTATTTGATTATTGCATTAATAGTATGCAAACTCAAGCCATAAAAATTCCTTCTTTCCTTGTAGTATCCTCTTCACTGAGGATGTTTGCAAATTATATTTTTATAGGTTTATTTAGATTTCCAAATCATTCTGAGACCATGGCAGTTTAGAGATGCATAAAATTAAATGTGCTTCTTTTACTATCAAAGCATCAATAATCAGAACTGATAATTTAATCTGCAACATAATGGTCATTCCTGAAGGGATAAGTGATAGAAATTTCTAACATATATAACATATTCTCTCTATTTTAAGAATATAACATTTTTTAAAGTAGCCTTTTAGTTTTAGCAAAAATGTGAGGAATGCTGAATTAATTGTCATATACTAAGAAAAGATTGTTGCCAAGCTCCATGGGAAGATCTGTTTTTCTCAGAATGCAGCTCTGTGTTGTCATGGAGAGTGGCAGGCCACCCATTAATGAGAGGAAGTTAAGGTTGCATTGC